ATCTCTTTTTTTTTTTTTGCATGATATGTTCATGGATTTATTGTTCTAAGTTCCTAAAACAGTTCCTAGCACGTGCCAGGAGCTCAGTAAATTAGTGAATATGCTATGTTACTGTAAAATGGAAAGGTATGGGACATGTGGGTGGCAGAGTCAGTTGGGCACCCTACTTGGCTTCCACTTGGGTTGTGATCTTGGGATCAAGCCCGGCTTCAGGCTCTGTGCTTGGTGCACAGTCTGCTTGAGACTCTCCTTTTGCTCCTCCCCTCCGAGGATGCGTGCTCTCTTTCTCTCTCAAATAAATAAATAAAACTTAAAAAAAAGGGGCGCCTGGGTGGCTCAGTGGGTTAAGCCGCTGCCTTCGGCTCAGGTCGTGATCTCAGAGTCCTGGGATCGAGCCCCGCATCGGGCTCTCTGCTCTCTAGGGAAGCCTGCTTCCTCCTCTCTCTGCCTGCTTCCTCCTCTCTCTCTGCCTGCTTGTGATCTCTCTGTCAAATAAATAAATAAAATCTTTAAAAAAAAAAAACTTAAAAAAAAATGGAAAGGTGTAGTGAAACCATAATCACTCTGATTACATTCAGGGTTTACATTGACAATCCCCAGACCCCAAATGACAGGTTACTTGATCTGAAAGAGACCTGTAAGTTGAGAATGTAAAAGGCTTTTTACTGAAAGTAGAGTAATTCCTCCCTAATGTTTCTGGTGGCCATCTAGCAGATTCCTGATTTGGAGAAGGAGCTTGGGATGAGATTGAGGAGAAACCTCTTGGGAGAATACTTTAACACTGATGTCACGATTACTCATTTGTGAGTGAAATGACAAGCCAGCTCTTCCACACTCAGGTTAGCCCAGAGACAAATTTGTTTGTAAAAGCTGGAGAAAATAATGACACCATTCTCCCCACATTGTCAGATCCATTAGTTTCACTTAAACTCATACTACAGGCCACCAGATTAGGTGAGAAAAAGGTAAGTGTTAGAGATAAAGACCAAAATAATGATTATATGAAAGGTTGATGTTTAGAAGGGAAGGGGATTGATTTACTGGAATACTTGTGTTTACAGCCATAAGTTATGTTTGCACTATGAAGTATCTATAAAAGGCAGATAAAAAGGCCTTCAGCTCAAAAAATCTGATGCTACCTAATGCCCCAAACCAGGATCACAGGGTGTCTCATTATAATACATGGACCTCCTATAAATCTGTTCATTAGAGCATGGAATTCAGTAAGAATCATTTGGATCTTAGATCCTATCCAGTGCATTATAGTTTTTGAAGGCTCAATAAGATTTCAGTTTAAGGTGGTTCCATGTTTAAAGTTTGAGCAAGGTTTCAGAATAAGTTTTCTTTATTTCTTTTTTCATTTCATTTTTTTGGGTTTTATTTTTTATAAGTTTTACTTATAAAATCCATTAGAATTTCAAATATACAGAGCTATATAAAGAAAAGGCAGTCCTACACCTACATATAAGCACTATTGATATTTCGATGAAAATCCTTCCAGACATCTTTCCAGGTGTGTGAACAGTACATGTATATGTTTTTGTCACTCCAATGAAAAGGGAGTGTAGTGCAAACACTGCACTACACTGCAAATATCAGTGTTTCATTAAACATTTTGGAAGATAATCTTCAACTATCAGGAAAAATGAAATAATTCTGAAATATATGGTGTGTTCTAAGTCAATCTGAATGCCTTGCAGGAGTGTAGAGTCTTTTTTAAATCCAGCCAGGTATCCAGGTGAGAGTACTGTGGTAACTGGAGAGGGCTAATTATAGGACTAAAACAGAACACTGTTAACTTTCTGCCTCTCCCCAATCGCAGGTAAATTAGAAACAGATGTCCGTTCACAGTTCTTCAGTCCTCATGAACGGCCAGTTGTGGGGTGTGTCATTGTCATCAACTCAAGTGAAATCACTGCTCTTTCATAAGGCCACGAGATAGGCTGTGTATGTGTGTCGGTCTGAATTAAATATATGTGCAGTCATCAGTTCAGTGATGCTATGTGCGACGGAATGAACTTCTAAGTAGATCAGGATTTTCCTTTTACACCACTATCATATTCAAGAGGAGTCATTTAGAAGGCCTTTAATTTCCTCTGATTGGTAGCCTAATAGTCAGTGTACTGCCTTAAATGTTCAAAAAGCAAGTCTCTGCCATTGGCCATGACTGGAAACTTGGGAATTTCTGCTAAAGTTCTCGTGATCTAATCCTCTCTTGAAAGCACAGAACTAAAGCATTGAAATGCCTGAGTCAGCTGCTCAAGGGATATACTGGCTGCGCCCCCGCTTATTTTTCTAGGACGAAAAAATCTCCTTGGTGACTTCTGAGGCAGCTAGCTTTTACCTTCTCCACCTAGAAATACACGTATTACCTTCTCCACAGCGAAAGTACACACACACACACATAAACTATATATAAATTCTGGCATTAGCACTTTTATATTTTTCTACAATTAAGCTTAATTTCAGCAGATCTTACTTAATAACTTACAAGAAAATAATTTCACCTAGTTTCTACTGATTGTGTTAAAATTTTTTTAACTTTTCTGTTTAGCTTAGGGAAGGAAAAGAAAGTCACGTTGGACACCTGGCTGGCTCTTCAGAAGAGCATGAGACTCTTGATCTTGGGGTTGTGAGTTCGAGCCCCACGTTCAGTGTAGAGATTACTTAAATTAATAAATAAAAACTTAACGGCACGTACTGTTTTGCTGAAACTTTTACTTATTTAGTGTTACTTCCCTTTTATAGATGAGGACCTCAGAACAGTCAAGTAGAAAACACAGTTGGTATTTGAACCAGATCCATTTGAGTCCAAAGGACTGTCTGTAACCCATCATGCTGTAGAATGAGCCGCAGAATGCTAGGCTTATAAAAAACTATTATCAATATTATTAAGTAAAAGTGTGCCTGGGTGGCTCAGTGGATTAAGCCTCTGCCTTCGGCTCAGGTCATGATCTCAGGGTCCTGGGATCCAGGCCCGCATCGGGCTCTCTGCTCAGCAGGGAGCCTGCTTCCCCTCTCTGTCTCTACCTGCCTCTCTGCCTACTTGTGACCTCTCTCTCTGTCAAATAAATAAATAAAATCTTATAAAATATATTATTAAGTAAAAAAAGCAAGTTCATTGCAGTACGCATTATATATCACCATTATGTGAAGTGTATGTATGTGTATGTATGTACATGCATGTGTTTATTTTTACATATGCCTAGCATATCTAGCATATGTCTGGAAGACCATATAATGATTGCTTCCAGGGATGGGAATTGGACTGCTAGGAATCTAGGTGTTTTATTATAGAATCTTTTAGGGGCCCCTGGGTGGCTTATTTGGTTAAACATGACCTGAGCTGCAATCAGAAGTCAGGCAATTAATTGATTGAGCCATCCAGGTACCCCAGCTTGTAAATCTTCCAATGCTGTAGAATATTAATACTATTATGATATTGGTAAGCACTGATAATGATCATATCTTTCTAGTTTTTCAATTCCCATGATACTACTCAAGTGACCCTCCCATGTTAGAATTTGAGAGGAAAGTAGAATACTGATATAATACATCATGATAGCAGAGGTAATGATGGCTACATTCTGCATTCGACTATTTACATTTTTAATGCCACTTGAAATTTTAATAATCTTCGGTTTATCTGTTTTTTGAAACAAGAACACCTTGCCTCAAATGACAGCAGTTGCCAGTTATAACTGAGGTCAAAGAAGTGTTTTACGAGTCTTAAAATTGAACTTAACAAAGAAAAAAGTTTGCCATCTACTAAAAGCTATATTTTAATTTGGGGCTGCCATTAATCAGTATACCTTATCTTGAATACACTTTATTTTTGCATTTGTTTTCAAATCTATAATGATCTGTTTATGTAGTGGTCTCCCTTATTAGACTGGGCAGGGTTCATGCTTCTTGATTTGTTACTATATTTTTAGTGGGCCTAATTCCTGGCAGTTGGTAGGTAGCTAAAAATATTGCTTGAGCTGAATTGAATTGAACTAGAGATATTTAGCTTAGTTGGGAAAAAAGAAAGAGAAATAATCTCAGTTTTTAAATAACTGAAGTGTTCTCACGTGAAAGAGGTTAAGTTTTTTCTATATGGTTTCAGTAGACTGTAAACCAGTGGGTGGAAGTTTTAAGAATTTTCTGAATGTTGAGTTGTCTAAAGCTAAGTGGCCCTGTCTCAGGAGGTACTGATTCTGTCACCAGGACATTCATTTGTGGCTGGTCAGCTATAGAAATAATTCAAGTATTTAATTGTTCATTTTTGTTTGTTTTTGGCAACTTGGGGATTTTTTTAATTTTTATTTTTTATAGATTTTTTACTTATTTGAGAGAGAGAAAGCACAAGCAGGGGGAGGAGAAGAAGGAGAGGGAGAAGCAGACTTCCTACTGAGTACAGAACCCAATGCAGGGATCCATCCCAGGACCCTGAGATCATGACCTGAGCCCAAGTCAGATGCTTAACCAAATGAGCCACCCAGATGCCCCCATTTGTTTCTTTACTCATTACTTCAAACATGTATTGAGCACACACTGTCCTTAGGTGTTGGATACTAAAGCTGAATACATCATAATTCCTTCCCTCGAAGAACTCAGACCCATCAGGTAAATGGAAATATTAGCAAAGGGTTACAACACAGGGTACTAAGAGGTTGTTATAGAGGTGTATTGGTAATACCCTGGAGAGTTGACAAGAAAGGTTGCTGAGGAGGTGACTCTGAAGTAGAATTGACCAGGCACATAGAGAGAGGAGTCCTGAACAGAAGGAAAAATACATGCAAAAGCTCAGAAGTTAAACTTTGGGAATTTAGTAGTGGCATTTCATTTGGATTATGTAGCCTTGAAATACCCTCCAATCCTAAAATTCTGTGTGCTGGCTCTTTAACTTAGCATCTTTTTTCACTTCCTGGCAGCTATCACATGTATGTATGTATTTCCGTTGTCATTTTTCATAGGAAGCAAAATCAATGACCTTCTTCTTTGATTTTTGTTTGTAGTTAAATTCATCCGAGAAGTAACACCATATATCAAGAAGCCATCATTAGTATCAGATCTACCATGGGAAGGTGCATCTCCTCAGTCACCAAGCTTTAGTGGCAGTGAGGACTCTGGTTCTCCAAAACATCAGAACAGCACCAAGGACAGGAAGGTCATCCCTCTCAAAATGTGCTTTGCTGCTAGAAACCTAAGCATGCCGGATCTGGAAAACAGGTGAGCTGTACCTAAGGAGAATATCATACTTAAGGCTTTACAAACTTAAGGGTGTTGTAAAATTACTTATGCATATTTTTAATAATATGACTGTTGACTACGTTATTCAGAGGAAAACATCAGCCTGAGATGAGAAAATAATTTTGGGGGTTCCATATTTAAATTACTTCACACATATAGGCCCATGTACATGTATAGAAAATTATGGGACAAACATACAAGAAACTTAATGGTGGTTACTTCCAGGGAGTGAAATAAGATTAGAAGGTAGAAGGATAGAAAGGGCTTCTGCTCTTCATTTTATACTTTCCTGGAGTGTTAGTACTTTTCTCACTAAGAAATTTCTTTATAATTTTAAAAACCTTATTAAAGAAATCTTAAATTTCCCCTCAGATGGAAACTCCTTATATTGTATTTAACATGGAGTCAGATGTTTGATTATAGATATGGCTGTATCAACTAGCAATGTGACCCGGCAAGTTGGCGTCTCTTGACTTGACTTTTCTTATTTGTAAAAAGAGAGAGTTGGATTAAATAATTTCTTAAGTACCTTGAGGTTCTTTTTTTTTTTTTTTAAGATTTTATTTATTTATTTGACAGAGAGAGAGAGAGATCACAAGTAGGCAGAGAGGCAGGCAGAGAGAAAGGGGAAAGCAGGCCTCCTGCCGAGCAGAGAGCCCGATTCGGGGCTCAATCCCAGGACCCCAAGACCATGACCTGAGCCGAAGGCAGAGGCCCAACCCTCTGAGCCACCCAGGTGCCCCTGTCCCTTGTAGTTCTGTAGCCAGTCAGGTTCTATGACTTTGTCTTCAGTGATTCCATGAACAGGTACTGGTAAACCTAGTGTTAGGTTAGCGATGAGGGGGAAAAAAGGAGAGAGATGAACTTATCCAAAGACATAGACAAGGACCAGACTTTTTATAATGTACTTTCACTTTCATGGTGTCTCCTGATCTGAATGCACAGCGAGGTGCCCAGTCAGGATGGATAGATCACAAGAAGACAGCAAGAAGTTGAGTGACTTTAGACATTTTAAAGGTTTTTTATTTATTTGAGAGAGAGAGAATGCGAGAGAGCATGAGCAGGGTGAGGGGCAGAGCCACAGGCAGACACTTAACCAGCTGAACCGTCCAGGCACCCTGACATTGGGCATTTTAGGCCATAAAGACATTAAAGATCTTGCTCTGTAATATGTTGTGTGGTACTAAAGAGTTGAGTTCTGCAGTTACCGAGACCTTCTCATGGAAATTAGACAATCCTGATTAGGGTGAGCTGCTGAAGAGAAGGCAAATACTTTCACCTCCATAAACCACTATATCCTCATCTGTTTTTAAAAAAGAAGGATAGGGACACCTAGGTGGCTCAGTTGGTTAAGTGTCTGCCTTTGGTCTGCCTTAGGTCATGGTCCCAGGGTCCTGGGATTGAGCCCGAGTTGGACTTCTTGCTCGATAGGGAGCTTCTCCCTGTCCTTCTACCATTTCCCCCTGCTTGTGTCCTCTCACACACTCTCTGTCAAATAAATAAATAAAATCTTTTTTAAGAATTAAAAAGAAGGGGGCGCCTGGGTGGCTCAGTGGGTTAAGCCTCTGCCTTCGGCTCAGGTCATGATCTCAGGGTTCTGGGATCGAGCCCCGCATTGGGCTCTCTGCTCAGCGGGGAGCCTGCTTCCTCCTCTCTCTCTCTCTCTCTCTCTCTCTCTGCCTGCCTCTCTGCCTACTTGTGATCTCTGTCAAATAAATAAATAAAATATTAAAAAAAATATTGAAAAGAAGGATAATAATGCTTAATTCAGTATGCAGATTAAATGAGACAATACATATGAAGTCCTTTGCACAGAGCCAGGCACATAGTAGGTTCTTAAGAAAGAGCAACTTAGGGCACCTGGGTGGCTCAGTTGGTTGAGCCACAGCCTTTGGCTTGGATTATGATCCCGGAGTCCTGGGATTGAGTCCCTCATCGGGCTCCCAGCTCCATTGGTAGTCTGCTTCTCCCTTTGACCTTCTCCCCTCTCATGCTCTCTCTCACTGTCTCTCTCTCAAATAAATAAAATTAAAAAAAAAAAAAAGAGGAGCTTAAAGAAGTCTTAATTGCCAACTATATACACATTTTGAAAATTATATTCTGTATATTTGTATTGTTTTTGTTTGCTTTCTTCTAAAAGTTTAAGATATTATAGAAATTATTTCAAGTTACATATAGATTTATTTGTGAAAGATTGTGTTCATGTTAAATCATATCTAAATACAACACAGCTTGGTCTTTAAAGAATTGCTCTATTTTTTTCATGAAGTAAGAATTTAATTTGTAAAGTAAGTAGTCACCTCTGCCTCTTGAATCAAAATTAATTTTTTTTCTTCAAATGAGATACATTTATGTAGAGCCTTTGGTTAATCATAGTCTTAAAAAAATTAGTAGGGGCCACAAAGATCTTAAGAACTAGACTGAGAAACAATGTGATAAAGAACAAACAACAACTAAATTTGCCAACTGGTTGTCAGACTGAGGAATATTTTCAGGCTCAGTCTCTTCATTGTAAATCATTTCTGAGAATGAGAATAGATATCTCTTGTCTTAGTCTATTGTGGCTGCTATAACAAAATACCATAGACTGGGTGGCTTCTGAACAAACAGAACGTTATTTTGCATAGTTCTGGTAGAGAATAGGAAGTCTAAGATAAGATGCTGGCAGAATCAGTATCTGGTGAGGGTCGGCTTCCTGATTCATAGATGGCTGTCTTCTTGCTGTGTCCTTACATGGCAGAAGAGTCTAGAGAGCTCTCTTTTATAAGAGCACTTCTCTCAGTAAGGAGGTCCCTGCCCTCATGATCTTATCACCTCCCAAAGACCCCATCTCCTAATATCACAATGAGAGTTGGGCTTTTAACACGTGTAGTACTGCTGATCTGATATAGCTGGGTATTAGAGAAAAAGGCCAAGTATTATAAAGCTTCTACAGGACTCGGGTATGGGAGTGGAGGGTTTAAAGGAGGAAGGTGACGGTAGCTCAGTGGGTTAAAGCCTCTGCCTTCGGCTCAGGTCATGATCCCAGGGTCCTGGGATCGAGCCCCATATCGGGCTTTCTGCTCAGCGGGGAGCCTGTTTCCTCCTCTCTCTCTCTCTCTCTCTACCTGCCTCTCTGCCTACTTGTGATCTCTATCTGTCAAATAAATAAATAAATAATCTTAAAAAAAATCATTTAAAAAAAATAAAGGAGGAAGGTGATATGACTGTATTATTGAAGATTGTGCTACTTTATCTTCTACTTAGACATCTTTTAGAACTCAGTCACCTTGGCCTTCATTAAAATTTGGGGCTGCATTTTCTGTAGCATTCATGCTAAATGCTAGAGACATCTGGTGCATGATCGCATTTGAAATAGGTCTTTAGAACCAATTGGAGAGGGCAGTTTAGGCTACTAGAATCGTATCACAGCTTGCTCTTCAGTAAGACGGCCAGTCTCCTGAGACATGGTGTACTATACAAGGATAAGTTTTAGAAGATTGAGACTATTGCAGATTCTTAGTCTTAATACTGGAAAGTAATTTGTTTCTCATGTTACTTGAATTACTAAAATTTGTAGATAATTTGCTTTTTATAAAATATAAATTGGAAGAGGTTCAAGGTTATTTCTATATCACTCTTACTTACTTGCATTCCATTGTGCTTTCTGGAGAAAAAGAGAAGCAGTGGAATTACCAGCACCTGGCAAAATTGTGCATAACTTCAGTTATGTCCACAGGAATGTGAACATCTATCCTATATGTCTTAACAGAAAAAATGTTCAGAACCCATTAGCTAATTAGATAGAAGTTAGGATGATGGGCTTTGTAACTCTGGCCAAGTTATTTGTTTTCTGTAAGTCTTGGTTTCCTGCTGTATAAAATGAAAGCTTATGTGCAGATTAAATAAGAAGATGATTATAAAATTGGCACAGTAAGCTTTTAGTATACTATTATTATAGGTGCCATTTGTGTCCTATGACCTTAAATAAGTCCCTTAATTTCTCTGTCCTGTTTTCTCTGTCTATAAAATGGACATAATAGTGCTTGCTCAACTAGAGTCTTTTAGAACTACTTCAAGGATAAATAAGATAACATCTATAAAATCACTTGGAACTCTTTGATCCTTAAATTTATCTCAACTCTTTCTCAGGAAGATGTCATGACAAGTAACACAGCTGCAACATTTAAAGCCATGGAAAAAAACAGTCCATCGTAGGAACAGTAAAAATAAGTTTTGTTAGGACATCTGTGAGCAAAACATTTATCAAGTTGCAGTTTTATGTAACCATATTTCTATTTGAAAATTTTAATCTTCAACATAGGCTCTGGTAAAACCCAGAGTAAGAAATAAGCCTAGATGTTTCCTACTGTGGAAAATACTTTGTTCTTTAAGCCCTTGGTAGGCATGTGGTTTCCCAACATTCTTTACTTTTTTCCTAATATTTTACTGTGCATAATCTTTCAACATAAAGCAGGGTCAAAGAATTCTATGTTCAATACTCTTTTCCCACCACCTAGATTCTACCATTAATATTTTACTATACTTCCTTTAGCACAGATGACCCATTGATCCATCTGTTATTCCATTTTAACTTTTCTTAATACTTTTCAAAGTGAATTGTAAATTCACTTTCTAAATACTTAAGCATAATTTCTAAATACTTAAGCATGCATAAAAGTAAGTAAAGTTCAGTGTTTCATTTTGGTTTTTTTTCTTTTGAGAAAATATTTACATATAATAAAATGCACAAATCATAAACTTGGACAAATGCATACAATTATGTAACCCGAGCCTATCCAGGCGTAGTATATTACCTTCACCTTGGAAAGTTTTCTTGTGCCCTTTCTCACTCAGTTCCTTCTACCATCTTCAAAGGCTACTACTGTTCTGACTTTCTACTATAGATTAGTTTTAACTATTCTGAAATTTTGTATAAATGCAATCATATGTACTCTTTTGTGGTAGAATTCTTTTACTCAGCGTGAGGTTTTTGAGAT